ATACACATTGTGCGAAGCTATTCCCCTCTCTCTTTCTTTCTCTGCCTATAACTCCTTCTGTATATTTGCCCGCAAAGCTTCCGGCCGAACATTCATTCTGGTGCCTGTGGTGTCGCTTTATGAGTTCGTGTGTCGATTACGACACGGTACACTTTAAGTTCACCATCGGAACCCGTGTCTGTTTTTCATATACGACACGCTGTGCGCCTCACGTGACCCTGAAATCGCATCCGAAGTTGCCATTTATTCTTGTTAATGTTTGAAAAATGAAGGAGAAGAAAGCAGAACAGGTCATTTGTAGCAATTGAAAACGTTTTACGAATAAAGCAACGAGATAAAGCAACCCAACCAATGCAATGTATTTACCTGCTAATGTAGCTAATCATTTATTTGACCTACATTCTAAGAATCTGTATAGCGAAAGAAGATACAGATTTAAATAATGAGGAATAACTGATATGCGTAACGTCAAGTTTAGCATAAATTCAAGCGATTTGGAAAAAGAGCCGATAGCGAAAAATAAGAGTAGACACAACGAGAGATATAATTGTGCGAGAAAAAGAAGGAGAGACAGAGTGTGTGTGGGTGTTTAATAGTTTAGAAATTGGCTTGAAATATTTAGTTTCTTACTAAGTTGAATAAAATGGATTTGCATAAATTTAATTGAAATAAAGTATTAATTTGCGTTGTACAATATACTAGAGTTTTTTTTGGTAACTAGAAGTTTACACAATATTTTCACCCAAAGACACACATTACTAAAGTATTAATGTGTTTCAAAATAATGGATACATTTAGAATAAATGCAAAAGTATTTAGAAAGATATCTTTTAAGGAAACCTTATTTTTAGAAAGTAAACATTAATTAACGATTTATTAACAAAGAATAAAATAGATTGTATATTTCTTAAAATTATTTTACTTAAAAAGATGTGTAATAATTAAAGCACATCCTATTAAAATAAGCAAAAACGATTAAAAATTGTATTATTTGTATTATTTGGATTATACAACAAATATTTGTACAGTCGAGAAATTTAGCTTCTAAAATCATGAATATGGTTATTTTCACGAAAATTTGTTGTTTATATTAGAATAGAACTCATTGTGTAAAATTGCTAATTAACGTTTATTTTCTATAAATAAAGCTTTTTACTAAAAATCTCTGCATGAATATACTTTTTGCATTCACTATATATAATTTTAACAAATTTTTAATAATTTTGTCGAATATCGTACGTACGTTTTCTCAGGAAATTTTTTAATGAGTCATAACTATGCTAGTGCTGTTTCACACGGTATATGTTTTACTCCTCTATCTATCTGTTTATATGTTTATGTATCTCTTTCTCGGAAAAACGGGAGGAGAACGTGTCGTTGCTGGAATAAGTAGATTTTCAGCCGGAAAGCCGATTGTTCGCAAATTAACGAGCAACGTCGGGGCAAGATGTACGTTCGGGCAATTTCATCGTGCGTGACGTCGCGGAAGGCCGACGACGATGCAGTCGCGGCTCACGCGAGAGATGCGCGTGTCGAGGTGTTAATTTTAACGCACCGGGCTCTTTTTTTTTCCCTATCGAGCGCGCATCCACCGGCTGTTCACGCGCTTCCCAAGTTCTTCCCCGGAACCGGACAGTTCTCGGCACGGCGGCGATGGCTCAATAAGAAAGTCGAGCGATTTCGAAACCTCGCGAGAAAAAAAAAAAAGATAAAAAGAAGCGCACAGATAGCTGTATATGCTATATATGCTTGTGTATGTTCGCTTTCGCTCGTTCGCGCGTTTCTCTACATGTAACTCGCGAGCGACGTGACGCACGCGTGCCGCGACGCGAACTACGGACGTGGCCTCCACAGCGCATTATTATTAGCCGGCCGTGTGTGTGCGTGAATGCGTGAGTGCGTGCATGCGTGCGTGCACGCAGATGTGCGCGCACGCAACGCGCGAGCCGCACGCGATGCGCGTAACTACTGTGCGCGTTCAAGCCGCGCTTCGCCTCCTGGCGCTACCCAACAGTTCGCGTCGAATTCGCTTATTCGATTCATATACATCTACAAACATCTCCACACGCGTGAAGTGCACTGTTTATTTAGTTGTTAATCGTTTCTTAAAAAAAAAAAAAAATTAATCAAGGTTGTCCATCTTTCCTCTAAACTTCAGCTCACTGCCTTATTCTTTTACTCTTTTGTTTATCCAATAGGTACATTAGTTTATCTGAAGTTGAAACAATCGGCTCCAACTCATATTATAAAAAAAGTTGAATACTAAACCTATACAGATCATTCTAACAATATTGCAACGTATCAGTAATATTGTAGTAACATCACAATGTTGCTGCAATGTTGTTGGAATATTTTATGCTTTATAAGAAATTATCAAACGGTCAAAATACAGTCACCTTTTTTTCAAATTTGTAGCAATTAGAAATTTAAAACAGTTGATTATACAATATAACAGTTTCAAAGTTATTACATTTTTTTTAATGTGATTTTTATTGCAATACATAAATCCATCAATTAATTTTCCCTTTTTACTCTTTTTTTTAAATATATAGTTAAATTTTATAATAGAAAAATGTATATCTAATTATATTCTATGTTCTAATTATATGTTCTAATTATATTCTGTTAAAAGTGCTTTCTCCGTTTCATGATTAAATACAATTAATTGTTAACGGAAATATCAAATGTTAAAAGTTCTTTTAAAATTTAATTTTTCACTAATTCCATTTCTCTTTGTAATTACCACATTTTTGCTCGTCTGGCTGCCAGGAGTTACCTTGAAAATCAAAGTCCAAACGGTTCTCATTTTTCGGAATTAAGATGACAGATATAAAGCTTTCTGTCACATATATAGCTTTCTATGAATTTTAAGTAGCGAGGAAAGATTGTCTCAAGGCGATTAAGAAATCTGGCAACCGGCCAGATAAAACCTCGTAAAAAAACAACTGGTTTTCGCCTAAACGGAATGCAAATTGCTGTAATAAGTTCGCGCACAACGCGACGTACGAAAAAGCGAAAGTAATCGCCATCGAATGCGTGTCGTCGTCATCGCCATCGTTGTCATCATTATTATCGAAAATTTAGCGTAACCGGTTTGAGCGAGTAAGAGAACGTCACGAGAGTCAGCGTGTGATGGTGTATGATCAGAAGTCAGAAAAAAAAAAAAATGGGAAGCGACGCATCGAATTAGCCTCCACGATCAACGGGCGATAATCGCCATGTTTTCTGACATGGTGAGCCATGTGATGTATACTTTCTCAGGCAGAAGCTGTTCGATTTATTTGTGATCAAAAAGTAGAAACTCACCTCTCCGTTTCAGCGAACCGGGAAGAAGCAGACCCGGTGACTCATTAAGTCGTTAACCCACGAAGTCGGGTCTCCCCAGGAAACGAAAGAGACTCGGGCATTCGACCGTTTTTATCGAACAACCATCTTCATAAACATAAATGAGTATACCTGTATCATAGATAATTATTCTCTCTTCCCCCTCTTAAAAATATTATCTTAAAATATTTTAGAAATATTTATTGCGTCTTATTTCCCGTTAACATTGAACGCTATCTTGATACTAGATGAGTAAGACTCTCATGTATTAAATACGCTGTCGGATTCTCCTCAACCCTCCTACCGATACGCGATTTTCACATTAAGCGAATAAATTCTCCATATCGGATAGCCATATCTAACGGTAACATGGCGCTAAATGGAAATAAGAACACGGATCGTGTAATAGTCTTTTCCGTGTGAACAGGCAGTTTATGCGGAACAGAAGAGCCACGGTGATGTCGGCGACCCGCTTCTCGTCGACGGCAACCGCGTCGATAAATTTTCCCGCGTACCACCGCACGTGCGTGAACGCATTCGCGAACAACGCGGCCGGCGGATCCAATTTGAGATAAACGCACGCCCGGAAGACGCATTGTTCGCGCGGAATAGTACAAATTAACAGATCGATATCGCGGACCCGGCGCAATTAACATTGTGTACACACCGGTACGGCGGCGGATCGGCTTTCTTGAAAATCTGACGGTTTAATTAGGCGCCGGCCACCACCTTGTGGCAGATGTGGGGCCCAGTCGATTAATTAAACAAGCGACGAGCCCCCCGATATCGTCCGGACTCATCTTGCTCATTTAAATCGACGCGGTTCGCGATAATCGCGCGCCTGCTTCGGGGATTTCCTTTCCGCGTCTTACGCGATGGTCGTTGACGCCGTTACTTCGCGATAAATCTCAACCTGATAAACTCCGATCGGTGGCTATAATCTTGCTGGAATCATTGGCTGAACGAAAGTTTTAATCAGAGAAAGACTCATCTTATATTGCTTTATAAATGTATTATTTATGCACTGATAATCACGGAGACAGTTTACTTACATGTAATTTACTCTTGCAGCCACGAAACTATTTTTATTTTAAAGACAGACGACTTATTATCAATATTACAATTAGGATGGAAATTAAAACTGCTTGCAAGTTATATTTCGATGAATAAATAATATAATTGACACGAGAATGTAATTATTTAATTTCTTTTACATAAATGATTATCTGAAGCGTTTTTAAATCCCAATTAAAGCCACTATTATTAATTACATATTGAATATTATTGATTCTTTTATAATTTATTAATATACTTGAGATCATTATGTATATTTATAGATTCACTTTTCTAAAAAAAAAAAAAAAAAAAAAAAAAAAAAAA